AACCAACACAGTATTTCAATATGCTAAATGTTGCCCCGTACAGTAGTTCACTCTTCCCCAGTTAGGGTTTTGACGTTTTGCCCTTTCTATAGTTCACGATTATCTAGGATAATTTTTGACTCGCAGACTTCTATTGCCGCTACTTCTGCTGTGATCGACACTCCCTGATCTCCACTAGTGGACCATATGTTAGCTGTGCGATCAGGAATCCTTTGGCAAACGTATGTCGTCTCCAGATATCACACAGCCCTGAACATAATTATGGACGGTCCACTTCGTCTGCGGTCATAGTACTAGTATTGCTTCTCTGTCAGAAGCCCTGTTGTTTGAGCTTAACAAAAGCGCTAGGCGCTAAGACCTTTAATCGGTCACTGCTCCTAGTACACCGATGCGCTTGGTAACAACATGATGTCTACGCTACACCAGAAGGCAAATAGGCTGTTTATGACATAGAAGGCGGTCTCTTCCTGCATAGGCTACGCACTTTCGCGTATTCCGGCAGCGAGCGTGAAGAACGCTAAGATTAGTGGCATGACTGGCTACACAGAGTCCACTCCTTATTCCTCCTACCATCATAACCCTAATGGTTATGGCCGAAACAACAAAAATAAACACTGTTCTCAATAAATCCTGCTGTGTACGCCTGTTTTGAATTTGTACCGGGGAACAAATGCTTCAAACGCTGTCCTTACTCCCACTCGCCCTACTCCGCAGACGTGAAGATTCCGCTTACTCTAGCAGCCTAGAATGTTCGGTCTATTCTAGATAATCGTAGTAGCAACCGGTCGGAACAGAGAATAGCGCAAGTAGCTGGCGAACTGACACGACACCTGATGGACATAATTGTCCTCACGATGTATAAAGCTATAATCTTGGCCACATTGCTGCACGATGCGGAAACCTGGACCGTCCAGACCAAGAAAGTCAGGAACTTTAGACACTTTTACGAAGGGTACTGAAGCTGAAGTGACAAGAAAGAAACGGAGTCTCGAACAAACTGGAATCTTCAAAATTTTCGTTATGCCTAGCAAGTGCAACGGAGACGCCAGTCAACTCGACTTCGTTGAAGTATACTTGCTAGCGGGTTCCTGAGTTATTTTATGTTTTTTTTCGGCGAAACGTAAATAAAAAAAACTCAGCATAATTGTCCATCTGATTGATCTTATTCCCACCATGTGTTAAACTCATAATGAATTAACGTTGCGAAAATCCCCATTCGATAATTCAGAAGGGCAGTTGGCGAG